GATTACAAAAATATTCCTTATGTAATTTTAAATTTTTTACTGTGAGTACTTTCTTTTTCAGGTCAACATTATCCGATATGCTTGGATGTTTGTGGTTGTTCTTCAGTGGATATTATGATGTTGTCCTCCTAATGTTGTCCTTTTTGAAGATCCTGCTTGTGGTTTTGCAACAATAATTTGCGAAGGACCAGCTTGTGATTCTACAAAATAAAATGGGAATACACTTTGTTAGTTTGGAAATAAATAAAAACTGAAATAAATTATAGTATAATAAATATATTATATAAAATTAATTTAACATTATATTCATCGACATTACTTTCATAGTAAACCTACTCATGGCACTACATTACCCTTGTACCAATACAAAATAAATGAATGGATCTTGTTCATCCAACTTGCTCTATAATACACCTACTACTACACCTAATATAACAAAATAAGATAGTAAATACAATAACTATGTGAAAAAAGAGAAGTATTGTGTTTATCTATTGTTTGAGAACCATTTGATGCATGTATTTTTACTGTGTTGTTTGTACAAGTTGTGCCTTTAAATTTGATAGGTTTAGGACGAAATGTAATTATTCATAGAATGTGATGCCTGAACTTTCTTAAGGTTTTTTGTTGTTATTAAAAAAATACCTTTGACTGTTAAAAAAAATATGCACAGTGTGTTGCACTTTTATTAATGATTCAAACTGTACTGTATGTGTTCTGTCCATCCATGTTAGATCCAGATGATGTCATCTGAATAATCATCATCATCTTCATTACAGTCTATCAAAGTCCACTTCCGAATATAGGAATCCGCATGTAAAATATCTGAGTAATCCTAAAAGAAAACTATATACATACCGTATTACCATATACATTATATATTTTACTTACATCACATGGGACTACCGTTCTTAAGAGCTTTTTCTTGGTTGCATCATTAAATTAACCATCATGAAAATGTTTTCCACACAGCATTCTGGGCTCATTATGTAGCTTTGTCTGGAAAGCTAAAGTAGTATACTGCTCTTGGGAAGGAATATGATATTTCGCCCACAATTTACAGCTGAAAACAAAAGACATAATTATTAAAAATACAAATATTATCAAAGTAGGTCCAATGGTTTGCAAAACAATAATTTGTTTTTAAATGGTTAAAGAGAAACAATCTTTCATTATAAGTTGGACAAGAGATTTAGTTTAAGGTTGGAGCTTGTTAAATAGTGTATATGTACATTGTATACGTACCGCAAAATATACTTTACTGCGGGTTTCGGAAACCTATATAATTTAATGTTGTCAACGGTTGGTGAGCTGTTGCACTTAGAACACTTTTTCTATTTTCTTTATCCGCCATAGAACCAGAGTGAATGACATAGAACAACGGATTAGTAGCTGAAGTGGCCAGATATCTCGAAGAATCGACAACTGATGGGGGAAAAAGGTTCTCGAGTGGCAGCCTCGTACCGGTAGGCAGTGTAGGGTAACCCCCCACTAGATGGAGTGACGACCTGGTAAGACATGCAGGAAGTCGATGTATGCAGGCGGCTCAGCACCGTGCTTTGTGGCATACCTTGGGGAGGCCTATGTTCAGCAGTAGACTTGTGAAGGGCTGCAATGATGATGATGATGATGATGATATGGAAGTTATATTGTTTTATTAGGAATAATTATAACTATACATTCATTGAAGTTGAATGATAAATAACTTTCAAATGAAAGTGTCGGTACGATACGCGCCTCCTACCTTTTATTGTAATATGCCTATAACCTTCCCGCAAGTGCAAGCAGTAAGTTGACGAAGTTTAACTGCAATCTGATGAACGGCATGGCAACGCATAAAATACGAACAAACATTAAGCTTTCATACTTATAATTTAATGTGTTGTATATTAATATTAATTAATATAATCCGCAAAATTTTCTCACACATTTACGAAAAAGCGTCATTAATTATAATAAAATACTTTTTGAACTAAGACTATTAATACTTTCAACGTGTAATTAAATATTACGTCATTAAATAACTTGTCGCAACACGGACCGATTGAACATGGTCAAAGTTACAAATCGGCGGTAGGTACATGGAAAAACTACTTTTCAAGCGGCGGACCATGAGACCTATGAAGCTGGAAAAGCTAAAAGGCTAACAGCATTAACATCATCGGAAACCAGTGGTAGAAAAACTTTTGTATGTTTATTTGTACGGATGTTACTTAATAACTATATTTTGTAAAAATAAATAAATAAAATAAATGTGTAGCTTGTAACAATCTTATGCTCACAAGATGTCGCTAGTTCGCACTAAGGTATAGGAACACAGTGTCATTGTTATTGAAAAGTTGCGATATAATCTGGGGGCACGGCAGTGCCCTCGCCAAGTCGAGGAAAAAAGCAGCACGGCCGTACCATCCTTTTCTCGAAGCAGTTCAGGTCATTTTTGACCCCAATATAACTTCGTTGTGAATAAAACTAGATGCCTGAATTTTCAGTAACCAACCAGGCATTGTATAAACACGGCATTTTTCAAATTCATTCAATTTGAACCAGTAGTTTAAGAATTTTACCTAGTCTCTTAACTAGTTTCTTAATTTTGTCACTCACTCACTGACTGACTGACCGATCATCAAAACTCTAAGGCACTTCTTAACTACTGTAATTATATTAAAAACCGTTGTAATTAATTCAATAAATAAATAGTGCTATGGAACATGTTCTGCTTCCTTTTAATAGGTCGAGGAAGGTCTGTTACATGTGTTATACCTGTAAAGAGGCTTAGTATTTAAATTGATCTGTGGAACGGGCGCTACTAGTGGGGGTTTCTTTGCTCAAGTTTGCGATGCACTTACGAACTTCAACACTGTGTTATTTTATATCTAGGGGCACGGCAGTGCCCCCGCAAAATCGAGCAAAAAAGCGACACGGCCGTACCACACTTTTTTCGAAGCAATTCAGGCCATTTTCGACCCCCTATTACTTCGTAGTGGATAAAACTAGAAACCTGAATTTTTAGTAACCTAGTAGGCATAATATAAACATGGTATATTTTAAATTTCATTCAATTTGAACCAGTAGTTTAAGAATTATAGCTAGTCAAAGTTTCTTAATTTTGTCACTCACTGAATGACCGATCATCAAAACTCTAAGGCACTTCTAGCAGATATAGAAGCTTCAAATTTAGAATACAATTAGTGTTTAGTGTATAAATCAAGGAAAAACTAAAATATTTTTCAATTTCGGTCCAGTTTTCTAGATACACCAACTACATAAATAACTTGCATTACTACACTTACATTAAATTGCATAACTAACTAAACAATCTAATTTACTATAATACGTATTACTTGTGAGATACATTGTGTTTTCATGCGATGGCCCCAAGTCAATCTATTTATTTAAAACATAAAAGATTTTTAATATTGATATGGTTACAATAACATGTTGTTAGGTTAGCTAATTATGTGATAACTTAAGACGGAAAGACCCTTAAGTAGGGACTGAATAAATTAACCGACTTGATATTACACGGATCTCACAACTTTTTACGGTAGAAGAACTGAGTTGCGAGGCTTGGTTTTTTTACAAGTAATGTTTTTGATGGCATGAAAAGCTTTTCGGTTTCTAGTGTGTGTACGTATATGCACAAAACAATGCCTCTATTCTTTAATTTTTCACATACATTTAACTTCTGAGATACAGGTGATAACCTAGTTCAGGAGACAGAGCTCCTTTGTATTTAGACATATTTCTTTTAACGCTTCTACTTTTAAGGAAATCTATATATTGGTTTATAGTTTATGCATTTCTAATCTAATTTATATAAAATATAACAGAAACAAACATTAATCTCTACATTTCTTTAACAAACTAACTTCCACCCACCCCCAACCCCCGTTATGAGATTTGTAAAGGGTGACCTTTTAGAACCTTATAGCCAACAGTCTATCTTTACTTTTCTTTCAACTTTAAAATCGGTCAGAGGGCTCTTGGTGCATCTAATCATTATACGTTAATTATATGCAACTTAATAACGCAGTTCACAAAAATATAAAAACGTAAGTAATAAGAGCTATCACAAAAAATAGAAAATGTAAAATAAATTGAATTTAAAGTTTAGGTGTTTTTATAACGTAATTTCTTGTTTATGCAGACACGTTGATTGGTTAAAACTACTTTTACGGATTTCATCGCGTTTATTTTATTTTATTTTTAATAAACGCGATAAAATCCGTAAAAGTATTTCTAATAATTGTGTAGTGTTCGCGTAAATATAAGAAATCATTACGCACACAAAGGGTGCGTTTGGCAGAAAAAAGCGCTAGCAAGCGCTTACAAGCGCTGAAATAGTTTTCGGCCAGGACACGATTGCTACCTCAGTAGCGCTGACACAACCCGCCATTTTGCTTATTTAATTTGTTTGTTTTGAAGTAGAGTTTATAAGTTGTTTTGTGCAATATTAGTTTTAAGTAATATATTGACATGAATAAACATATACATGTTATTAAAAATTCATGATTGGTAAGTTTTTAATATGAATACTTTACAAACATATATTTAAATTAAGTTAGGTTCCCCGGTTAAAACTAACATTGTGTCCTGGAGGAAAATAGCTAGTTACGATTTGACAGCGCTTACCGCTTACGATCGCCATTTTGCTTACAAGCGCTTGCTAGCGCTTTTTTCTGCCAAACGCACCCAAATACTACTGTTTAATGAAACTTGTCAATATTATAGATCATAGAACAGAATAGAACATTGGCTTTTTTTTGTAAAAAAGTTCACATATGTTTTCTCTCACGCTAGAAATTGCCTTCATTTCTCCTGTTGAAGTGAGGATTCACCTTAACCGTCACGTTTGAAAGGCGGATTGATAATCGCAGTACCAGATTTCTCGCACCTTAAACGATACTTACCTTGACCGACGACGATCTTGCGGGGGTGAAAAACAAATGTCATCTACCTAGTGCCAATAACTATAACAATTAACAAGGTGAAATACACACCTGGAACATAGTGGCAGCGGGCAACAGCTGGCAAACTGTGACCTCAGTGATACGGACCTTGCCCGTGTACATGAAGTATACCAGCCACGCCATAGCGGAGGGGCACACTCCCTGCAGACGTACTCTGGACATTTCGCACTCCTTCAGACCGCTTGTGAACATTGCCTGGGCGTGAAATTATGCATTTAAAGTAATACTATATGAAAATAAAAAAATAAAAATGTCCCGTAGGCTACACGAAAAAGTACCTCATTCAGATTCAGAGGTATTGTAATGGCCGGAAAAATATATAAAAATGTGGTGGCACAAAGAAATTTAATTATTTATATTAAATTAAATTATGGTTATTTACTATAGTATATATAATACTTATGAAAGCCATCTCTATTTTATACCACTGCTGTGGTAAAAATTCCGTTCTGGGAAACCGAAACCCCATAGGACTTTTTCAACTTTCAAGCTTTTTGCTTAGAAGTAAGGATGACAAACGAGTACCTCTGATGGTAAATGGAAGCTGTAGCTCATAGACACTTTCACTTATCCTTGATTAAATATTAAGACTTAGATGAGTTATCACTCCTAGAGACTAAGATGGAATGCACCGTTTCCAGTAAAGAGGTGTTTACGATAAAACAAGTAAAGTTAAGCTTAAGTTTCTTTTTCTTTCTGTTGGTTTTTCTTTATTTTCCCTCATAAAAATCCTTTTGACTTTTTATATTTTTTGGGACTTCGTTGCTAAAGCGTAGTCTGTTCTCTTAGATACGGTCGCCTTTGTGTCGCGCCGCCTTGGTACGTGCCGCATCTTGTGAAAGGCGCCGCCGCGACATTCAAAGATCGCCGCATGCGGTTGCGGTGTACCCGCAGGACAATTTGGCATTTTAAAACGAAGCGCCGTAGTGATTGGTTCTTTGCTACCTAACTTGTGTTTATTATTTATATTCAATTATATCATTACTTATAATAGTATTCTAATTTATTCTTAGAATAGAAAAATTAAATTTTTATTCACATACATAGCATTTGGAAAAAAATAATAAACTACCTATATATTTTTAGAATTATTTAAAATTATCATTATTATATGGAAGTTCAGTAGTGGACTTGTAAAGAGCCATAACTCTTTATTTTACTGCTGAACATCACCATCCATCGTGGGATAACACAACACGGTCTTGAGCCACCTGCATCCATCGACTTTAAGCATGTCTTACGAGGTCGTGAAGAGCCGCTTCACACTTCGCTTACTGGCACGAGTATTATTAAAAATAGAAATAGTAATTTTTTCCCTTAAAACTTATGTTATCAACTTACAAATATTGCACTTACACTATTTCTATATAACAATAATTAAAAGTTATTTTACTCTGCGTAATTAATTCACAAAATAACTGTTAAGAGACTATCATAATTATACTTAAAAGTAACAACAAAGCAAGATGAAAGTACACAGTAGTTAAATAAAGAGTCAACATAGTTGGTACAATAATTTAGAGATTCGTTATTTACAGTGCTACAAAATATTACAAACAACTTGAACATCAGACAGTGTATATTATGATGTCTATACTGCTGTTTGTAATAAATTATAACTTGGTGCTATGCATGTAATGTAAATGTTATTTACAGAGGACGTAACTTGTGAATCGAGCCAAACAATTAAATTTTTTTTTTGTTAGGTGAAATTGTTTCTTAGTATGTAAGTAGTAGAGTTCATATTAGTATAATGAATAAAGTATACGTTAACGAAACAGAAGTGGATTTCGCTTTAAGCACACACGGTGTATATCGGGTGTCCCAGAAAGAATGGATAATCCTGGAGCGCCTAATAGTACAGGTATTAGGCGCTCAAAAAAAATACAAAAGAATATATTCCTAGTGGTGCCAAAATATGAAGGTTTTAAAAAATATGTTTTTATTGACCTTACTGTACTTTCATGTACACCACTGCCGCAAATTAATGAAATTCGTTGTGTTTTTGGTGTTCCATTTGTCCTCACAGACTATTCTATTAGAAATGCAGTAAAGAGTATGATTATCTATTGTTCTTTTTGCAAAAAAAAAAACTTCAATTATTAGCATGAAATTTTATAAAAAAATAATTTTGACAAAAGTTTGAGAGCCATTCCTGAAAAAAAGTATAAAGACCTAAGTGGCTAACTATTTTAAAAATATGCGCAGTTAATACAGTTTACAAAATGATATAATACCAAAATAAAACAAACACCAAAAACACAACGAATTTCATTAATTTTCGTGACCTTACTGTACATGAAAGTACATTTAAGTCAATAAAAACATTTTTTTAAACCTTCATATTTTTTGCACCACTAGGAATATATTTTTTGTTACTTTTTTTGAGCGCCTGATACCTTACGTACTATTAGGCGCTCCAGGATTATCCATTCTTTCTGGGACAAGCTGTATAAATATTCGTAATCAGTCCGAAACAGACCACACGTGCCTCTTTCATAAAATGACTATACACAAATGAGCTAGTGTAAAACCTACCTTGAAGTAGGGGCTACCCGCAGCGAGGACAACTTTGTGAACGTGGAACAGCTCGTTTCCAACTTCCAGTACTACATCTGTCAGCATGTGATGGGACCTCATCGTGAACAGCATCTGTTGACAATTAATTAATTAAATAAACAAGTGATTTCTTTTGCATGGCTTAAACGCAAAAGGCGTAGATATGATTTACTAGCGCCTAAAAATCAAGAATCCAACGTTTTGTTGCATGAAATCGTATCTAACAATCATATTGAACATATAAATTATATAAAAAGCACATTGTCACAAAGATAAATGATTGTTGAACATATATTTTTTTAAATCGATTAATTGCTACTTTTACATTAAAAAGGTGGTTTAGTGGTTTATGGGTCTTTTTGACGGCATTTTGAAACGCAACCACTGCTTCCTTGGTGTCCATAAAACGTATTTCGAAGTTTTTCTTTTATTTTCGGAAATAAATAAAACTCGCAAGGTGCGAGGTCGGGGCTGTAGGGCAGGTGACACAGTAATTCCACGTCTGACGTCACCAAGTAGACAATTGTTTGCTTGGCGGTGTGCGACGAGGCGTTCTCATGGTGAAGGAGGGTCCTACGGCGAGGTCGTTTCTTCCGAACTTTTTCCGAAACAAGTGGCAAACAATTGTTAGTGTACCACTCTGTAGTAACTGTTTTTTGATCCTCTAAAACAATTGTTGCGCAATGACCTGCCCTTCCGAAGAACGAGGCCACCATCTTTTTTCCCACGCTTCGACCTCTCTTGACTTTAGTTGGCAACTCCTCGGAACGAAACACCCAGACAACAGACTGTCTCTTAGTTTCAGGATCATAACAGTAAATCCAGCTTTCGTCACCCGTAAGTATGTCGAACACGACATTTGAGCCACCTCCGTTAAATCTTTGAACCATTTCACGACACCAATCAACACGACGGAGTTTTTGGTCCTCTGTCAAATTATGAGGTATCCACCGGGCACAAAGCTTCCTAACCGCTAAATGTTCTGGGAGGATTTTGTGCACTTGACTCATACCGATACCTAAGCGTGTCCGAATCAGCTGATAGTCAGTCTTATGTCAAATTCTATCATACGCCGCACAACACTGATGTTACCTTCAGTTGTCGCCGAAAAAGAAATCCGTCCCTCATGCAGATCATCGGCAGATTAGTGCGATCACGTTAAAACTCATTAAACCAGTTGTAAACAGTGGCACGAGATGGCTTCATAGTGAAAGGCCAATCAAAGTCTATCATAACTTTCTTGTTGGCTTAAATGACATCGAGTCATAAAAAATCATTGTACGAAAATTTTCTCGCGTTAAATACAGTACCCGGTTGACCTCCCGGTACTTTTCGCTCGGTTTTTTTTAATTCGTGTGTTTTGGAAATTATATTTAGATACAAATTACATACTGATGAAATACGAATAATATTTTTTGATCTTAGCGACATAATAGAAAAAACTGAACTGGTTATTTGAATAAAAAATCATGAGTGCAATTAGTTTATTTTAAATTTTCGTGTTTTAAAAAATACTAAAAAAAGGGCTCGAAAAAATAGATTTTCTCAAAAAAGAAAGGAACTTGAAAAAAAAATTTAAAAAGGTCGGTCCGTCTGGGCTCGAACCATGGTATTACGATTTTGTGACCGCCCAATATACCAATTAAGCTATTTGTAATCATTAATAAACTGTCAAAATTTACCTTTTTATCTAACGATATTGTAGCAGTTTTTCATTGCTTAAAACACGGACAAAAAGACATTTTCTAAAAATAAATCCTAGCTAGATCGATTTATTGCCCCCGAAACTTCCTACACACAAAATTTTATGAAAATCGTTGGGGCCGTTTCCGAGATTCCATATATATATATATATATTATTATATATATATATATATATATATATATATATATATATATATATATATATATATATACAAGAATTGCTCGTTTAAAGGTATAGGATGCAGCCGGGCTAGCATAGGCAGGAGACAAAGTTTTTATCCCCCGATTATATCCACTGACAAGGGATAAAATTGTCTTAGATAAAATAGGAGATAAACTTATCCCCGCGTGTACGTGCCCTTTATAGTTTTATACTATGGTACATTATCTATATGTACCATAGTATAAAACTATAAAGGGCACGTACAAGGAAACAAAGCGAAACGCCACGAAACTGTGCACTTTTGGATTTTCCATTTTTTTAATGACGTTTGACATAAAATTAGCGGAAAATTAGTAGTAATAGTAATAAGATTATTTGTGAAACCTTTAGTGTATTTAAAATACTTAAAAAATTAGGGCTTAGGGCGTGCACATTTGGATTTATCAAAAGTTTATTTTTAAATTTTGCACTAAAAATTATTTAATATACTTACCACGTTTTTTTTTCGAACCTAAAATAACGTTACATACAAAAATAAGCTATCGTGCTTAGCGGTAGCTGATAAACGTGTTGTCATGATAAAACAAATACGCACTGGTACACAAAATAACTTATTAAAACCCTGAAAAACATCACACTTTAGATGACTTCTCAATCATAAATCATAATACTTATAGTTACAAGAGCGCAAGACATTTACTGAGGGGACAGTTGTGTCACAAAATTAAAAGAGAGCTTTATTTTGTGGTGGTATGTCTATCAAGTGATGAAACTCACGCAATCAACTATAACGTGCTAAACTTTAAAATTATGCCTAAATTTATAAGTTTACGAAAGACTCTACGATCACTGTTTGTATAATGGGTAATTTATGATTATCATCATGCATACTCTTCTTTCATTTCCCTCACAAAATACCAAATACGATAGCAACGATTTGCTGAATCATGTTCGTAAACAAATGATTCGGCATATCGCATACTGCATTTAATTACATCCACACTACTATATGGCCCGGAGATAAGAAAATAGGTTGATTGACATTACTATTATTCTAACCTACTCGTACCCGAGGTATTCCTGAGGCGTTCGCATTGAAGCTAGCAAGTAAACAAACAACTTGCACTGGCAAGTTTTGTTTGTTTTTCCGAAGTGTAAGCTTTAGCTGAGGAACTCCAACCACTGAACTCTGACCACGCGGTTTAAATATCAACCAATCACTCTTATACAAATTGAATGTTACCTTTGTATCGATCATTATTTACATTGATATTTATAGTAAATAATTTTAATTATTTGCAAAAAGTATTATCAAACCTGATCCATATTACATTATTAATCAGACTGTTGACTACTATAATATTACGAATAAATATCCTCTAAGAAATTTTGTTACGATTGTTTTTGTCCTTACTAATTAAGTTTATTTTTCTAAAAAAGTGTGACAAATGAACCCACAATCCACCTGATGGTAAGCAGATGCTGCGGCCAATAGACATCTAAATAATCAAAATGTAGATGCGTTGTCACCCCTGAGAATTAAGAAAGAATGCCTCGTAACCAATAAAAGGTCTCCGGTTCTCTAAACTCACTAGACATAAACACAGCTGCATTTAGCTGCTATTTCATGCTAGTGTTACATATTATAATGTGAAACAGATATTATGATGTGACACACTAAATTGCATGACAAAAACACATCAGTCGATTTTTAGATTTGTATCTCGAGAAATGGAATTTACTAGTAAAAAATATATATTATTTGAGAATACATATTTTACAAACGAGCACAACCTGATGGTAAGTGGATGCTGTGCCCCATAGACATCTACATTTATCTTCAATTAAGAGGATAGAGTAAGTCAGCTCAAATTCTAATTTCGCCCCCACTTCCCCGCGCGTCGTATGCTATGTACCGACATGTTTGTAATCACTAATACTGTAAGTAGAAAGGTCGTTAGACACTTATTTTATTAGGTTTATCATATTTATGCCTGTTTCTTAACGCCAAGCCAGTCGCTTCTTATTTTTATAACGGTTATTTCCCATTTTAATTTTACGTCGTCCTGTTGCGTAATGTGTATTCTGATCGTAAGCGACACAACTTCTCCCTTCAAAAGCCGGAGCGATACTAACGGGGCGACAGGAATCAAGCTTATGCGCCGATAGTTTAGGTAATTTCTTTTTACAGTGAAAATAATGGTATTTTAAAAAAAGTAAATAACATAACCACTGCTTTATAGTTAAGTTTCATGATCTTATTTAAAATATTTTATGAATAACAGCGGTTTATTGTTTATTTTGGAGGTAACTTTGGATTTTTTTTCTATCGAGAAAATTTTACGAAATCGTGTTTTCGTCTAACATAATCCTTAACATTAATCCTCAACTTTACTATATATTAATTTAATTTGTGAATATTTTCGGCATAACGGAGGATCTTGCTAAGCCATTTGACATTATATTTCCCCTTAAGAATCAAAATGCAGATACGTTGTCACCCCTGAGGACTGAGATAGAATGCCCCGTTTTCAGTAAAAAGGGTCTCCGGTTCTTTACACTCACCATACGAAACACATCATCATGAAGCTGTTATTTTACGCTGGTATTCTGTGAGCGTGGTCCTACTCCGGTTGAGCTAATCCACTTGTGCTGCAACCACAATATAGCAGCAGCATGGCTCTACCACGTAAAAACTCTTGAATATGTTTAAAGTTTGAAAACAAAATTTGCTTAAGACAGTAACAGAATAATTTGTTTCTTGGTGTTGGTAGTGCAGCTGTGCTAAGAAAAAAACGAGGGGTCCTGGCCGGATAGCGCAACGACCTATTTTATACAAGTAAACTGATGATGATAAATGCTGTTGTCCATATGCTGATGCGCTGTTACTCTTGAAAATTAAGTTGAAATGACTTGCACCAGTAAAAAAGGTCTCCGGATCTCTCGCTCACTATACGAAACAAAGCAGCATTATGACGCTATTTTACGCTGAAATTTTGTGAGAACGTAGCGCTATTCCTCATTTAAGCTGACTCATTCGTGCTTTCAGGGCGACGGCTATAGTACCAACTGGCTACATAAAGTTAATAATTGGCGTCTTAGCGACAGTCTATATTTGCAGCCTTGAATTGAACAAACTAAAATTTGATTTAATGTATGTATCCATAATCAGATATTTGACGCACTGGTCAAAAAAAAACCGCGTACAGAGGAGTTTACATAGTTA